ACCTTGGAAGTTGAATGCCTTGGCTCCCAAACAAATTGGCTCCCGAACGAGTGAAACTCGGAAGTGAGTGTTCCAGTTTTCGAGCGTTCTTTTGGAAGCTGAACATCCAACAGGGCTTCCGCGGCTTCTGATTGGCTGCAGGAGCTTCCTGCAGCCAGTCAGAAGCCACACTTTGGTTTCCGAACATTTTGAAAGTCAAGCAGACTTCTGGTTCAGTTCAACTTCCAAGGTACGACTGTAGATGCAATAATTAAATAAAGCAATAAAGGTGTGGATTTATTTACACATACAATGGGTGGAGGCAGAAAGCTTTAATATTGCAACCCAGCAAAAGCCATTGCCCCTCATCAGATCTCCAAGGGGTGCGTCCCTTTGAGAAGAAGGCACCCTGGTGATCTCAAAGGAATGCACCAAAGCGCCTCAGAGGGGGAAGAGGCGGCCCCATCTGCGGAGTGGAGCAAAAGGTAAGTGTGGCTAAGCCCTAACACTTTTTCTAACTCAGTGGTGGGAGAAATTAAAGCATGGGACAAGCGGAAAACCTCTTAGATACTGAAATAACGCAAGTGTGGACAAGTCCTAGAGTAACAACTTTTCAAAATGTGCCAAAATCATTCTGAGCACAAGGGGGCGTTGTAAACCAGTTTATCTGATTAAGAAGCCATTCTCGGATCATCAGCTGATCTTCCTGAGAGCACTGGGCTGCATTGTGGAATTCCTTGAGTCTCCTCCGAATTAATGAAAATGACTGTAGACTCTGTTCCGATTAGTTCAGCTTGGCTCAGCGTAGAGAAGAAAAAGTTTATCTTGCAAGTAAGGACATCCTTTCATAAGATAAGGTCCTGGCTGAGTTCCTCTCTTTTGCATTCTCAAACCTACCACCTTTATTTCTCACGTGAGCAAAAATTGAACCCGGCTGTATCCTCATTCCCTCCAGATTCCTAAACTGCCTTGTTTTGTGTTTAATTGTTTTTATTAAAGATTTCCTTGGGTTCCAAAAGTACATACAGCACCTCTGCATTCTGTTCACAAAGTCCTTTGTGCAGATTAGTTATATTTGATGTGAGACACTAATGTCATAGACAGTCTAACTTGCCTTGTTCTGTTGCATCCTGAACCTGTCTGGGGCAGAATGTTGCCTTGCACACTCTCCCCCATTGCATCTCAGGTCCTTCTGGATAAACAGGGCTCAAATCTCCCCGCTTCTTATTCATTCATATAAATATGAATGAATTGGCATAAGGGACAATTGGGGGAACTGGAGAAGAAGCATAGGGTTAACCACAATGCTGGGGTGTCTGTTGTGTGGAAACATATCAGTTGCTATTATCATCATCATTGGCTTTTATTTGTACATCTCATTGGCTTTTTACAGTTTTATTTTCAACAATTAATAAACATACATTTTTTCTAAAAGGAAGATGACACTTTCAGGAGTCCTTTTATAGACTCAGGCACAGCTGTTGTTGTGTAACAAGAAGTGAAGAGTCATCCCTGCTCCGTCACTCCTCATTCCTTTTTGGCTTCGTTGCAGGTCCCATGTAGGCGAGTGTATTTTCCAGTCCTCTTACAAATTTGCAAACCTGTTTAGTGGCTCAAAGCTCATTTAAGGGCTCAAATCTCCCTGCTTCTTATTCATTCATAGCTATGCCTGCATGGATTGACATAAGGGACATCACTGGAGGAGCTGGAGAAGAAGCATAGGATTAATCACAATGCTGGGGTGTCTGTTGTGTGGAAATGTATCACTTGCTATCATCATCATCATTGACTACTACTACTACTACTACTAATAATAATAATAATAATAATACATAATGTATTCCCATACAAACAGACACCAAAGCTTCGTGTTCATTTGTGCTGCCCAAAAGCTTATTTTAGGGTGCAAACCCTTCCCTTTTTTCCTATTTTCATGACTATAGTGGCAAGGGGGAAATGGAGTAGATTTGTTTTATTATAAAATTTATATCCAGCCCTTCAGTCTAGATCTGTAGAACTCTCCCGGCAGTTTTAATCAGGGCTCTTTTTTCCCCAGACAGAACTCAGTTTTGGCACCTCTCAGGTGGGTGCCATTATAAGAGAACAAGGGAGGTGTTTATGGTGAGTTCCAGCACCTCTTTTTCTAGAAAAATATCATTGAGTATAATGCTAAAATAGGTGTTGTGTAGCTTTTACATGTTTCCCATCTCAGAGCTTATCAACACTTCCTTTTGTCCCAGTTTCCTCCTGGGTAAAGCCACTCTTTAGTACTTAATTGGAGCAAACAGCAATTCATGTTTAACCCAAATTGCCATTTGTTCTGATCTATCGTTAAAAGAGCGGGTTTTGCATGGGAAAGGAGTAGGGCAGATGGTTTTAATTATTTAGATAAATCAATACCAGGCTGCAATATTAAGTGTGTCCTCTTAAGAACAGGTACTGAATGGGGGTGAGTGAGTATCCTTACGGGCTTGCCTTTGGGCCCAGGCAATGCAATGTTTAAGTGGGAGAATATAATATGATATTAAGTGCCGTGTGGAACCTCCATTTTTAATTGCACCTCCAGCTGATAGCGGAACAGCAGTGCCTCAGCAGGGCAAAAGGGCCCAGGAGAAGGAGAGTCAAGAGGAGAGCAGGGTTGGCACTTGAGAGACGGGCACCACCACTGGAGGGGGTGTTCTTTTCCATGGTGCGTTGAATCCAGTCCATGTAGGAGGTGACCCGGGTATGGACTCCAGGACGGTTGGGCTGCGAACAACCCAACCCAAAGCTCACCACTCCAGCCAGGAACCAAGTGTCATTCAGCTTGCAGGACAGAGGCCCCCCAGAGTCACCCTGGAAGGAGAAAGTCATTAGGAAATGGGGACACTCAAGTGAAGAAAATCGAGCATTCAAATATGTTAAGCCAGGGCTGCACATATGAGGAGCCTTATGAGGAATGGTTGAAGGAGCTGAGTATGTTTAGCCTGGGGAAGAGGAGACCGAGAGAAGATATGATAGCCATTTTCAAATATCTAAAGGGCTGCCACATGGAAGAGGGAGCAAGCTTCTTTTCTCCTGCTCTAGAGGATGGGACTCAAACCAATAGCTTCAAGTTACAAGAATGGAAATTCCTATTAGACAGCAGGAAAAGAACTTTCTGACAGTAAGAGCTGTTTGACAGTGGAACGGTCTCCCTCTGGGAGGTTGTGGACTCCTTCCTTGGAGGTTTCTAAGTAGAGATTGGAGGGGCATCTGTCACGGATGCTTCAGTTGAGACTTCTGCATTGCAGGAGGTGGAACTTGATGACCCTTGAGGTCTCTTCTGACTCTACAGTTCTAACTACATTTTTAACCTGAGGTGAAGGACAAGGCGACACCTTATGCCCATTCCATTACAGAAACCAACTGGACTTGCAGTTGAATCTTGCTTCAACATTAGTGACAGGCTATCATCCTCCACAGCACCTGAGGGCAACCCCTCACTGTCAAATGGATGGCACGTTGACCAGCACTTGAGCTGCGCAGTTAACAGATCCTTACCTCATTTTTATGCCAAACTTATTTCTCTGTAACCAATAAAAAGTTGTGGCATTCATTTATCTCAACATCTGGCTTTTGGCTGTTGGCTACTTGTCCCCTCCCTACTTTACTGTATTGCTTGGGCCTGCAAGGGCAGCACAGAAAACCTACTGCTTCTTAATTACTGTAAGGGGAGCAGCTCCAGCCTGTCTTGCAGCTTAGTAATGAAAACCTACCACAACAAAGATGGGTGAGTGCACACTAATCCTAAAAAATGAAAAGGAGGGGTGGAAATTATTAATAATAGTGTCATTTGAAGCATAAAAGCCAATGTGTTGCAGTGGAGCTAGTGTGCTGGGATTTATCTAGGGCAACTCAAGTTCAAAGATCTGCTCAGCATTGCATTACCTGGCTGACCCTGGGCAAGTTGCCTCCCTTTCCTCCCTCCCCTGAACTGACAGGTGTCTTGTGCAGATGAAACTGACAAAGGGGGCAAGGCCTGCATGAACTTTCTGGAAGAAGGGATTGGTTACACATGTAATAAATGGGATTTAAAAGAAGAAAGAAATGCAATGTCAGCTCAGCCTGGCCAGAAATAAGAGTATTCCAACTGCCATCAAGTTGCCTGTCTGAAAGAAGAACTGGGCAGCCCTGTCCTCTTGGCCTTAACATTGTCTTCCTGCTCTCTTCCCAGATCTGATAGAGTTCCCCTTCACCCTCCCCATCCCTTCTTCCTTGTGTGTTAAGTCTTTTGGGTTCTAATCCTGAGAGCGGGGACTGTCCTACTACTTGGCTAAAGGATGAGGTCTCAATTCTTTAAATAAATAAGGACTGGCTTAATGAGGGGTGATCTGAGAGCAAACATAACACATACTAACAGCATTCTTTTACACACAAACCCACCCACCCCACCATCAAAATACACAAATATGGGATCTTCTGCCCTTGATCCATCGCCTGTTCCACAAATCTTACCTGGCAGGAGTCCTTCTTTCCTTCTGGGTACCCAGCGCAGATCATGTCATCATAGATCAGCTTGTAGCCCTTTGGCACAGTGTCAGTATCAGAACTGGAGTCATTGTGGTACATTTGGTCACACTTGTCAACGTCTAGGATTGGCACCTCCAGCTCCTGCAGAATCCGAGTGAGGAAGGGGGCTGGTAGGAGAAAAGTGAGATGTTGGGCATATACTCAACAGTACTTCCAGATTAGCTATGTTGCTGACGTCCTTCCTTACCTGATTTGGAGCACAGCTCTGTCCAGCTGATCACCCTTGGATACAATCCAAGTGAGACATCATAGAATCATAGAATCATAGAATCATAGAGTTGGAAGAGACCACAAGGGCCATCGAGTCCAACCCCCTGCCAAGCAGGAAACACCATCAGAGCACTCCTGACATATGGTTGTCACTTCTCCAAGGAGTTCTTAAATGATTCAGTACATATAAGAGTTTGACCAGAAGGACTCCCTGAACCCCAAGGTGGGGAATATTGTTCCCTGCAAGGGCCACATTCCCTCTGAGGCCACCTCCAAGATGGTGAGTGGGAACACATGCAAAAGTGGGCAGAGGGTTCAAAGCTGAATTTTCCCTTTGTACGGCAGGCTAGCTTCTTCAAACTGACCCATCCCTCTCTATCCTCCACTCAGGCAAGTAAGAAGCATTAACAAAGTCTGAGAACATATTCCAGCCAGGCAATAACACTCAAGGAAGGTGCAATGCAGGGCAGGTGAAGGCTGTGGCTCCAGAGGGCATGTGGCTGGGGAGGGTCCTGAGAGCCAGACAGAGATACCTGGGCTGGATCTACACTGGCCTGTTTAATGTTATTCCCCCCTATTAGAACGATATTAGATTTGTTGTTCTAGGGCATCCTTGTTAATTAAAATGTTCAAGGGCATCCTTGTTAATTAAAATGTTCAAGGGCATCCTTGTTAATTAAAATGTTTCTTCCCTTTTCGGGGGGTCAAATGCAAGTAATACCCATCCACACTATTTTCTAAAACACTGTTTCTTTCCTTGCTGCTGGTTGCTCTGCTCCACCCTCTGATATAGCAGCATAAAACGATTAAAAAGTAAGCAATAAAAAAGACGAGGCAATACAATGGTAACTCAGGTTACATACGCTTCAGGTTACATACGCTTCAGGTTACAGACTCCGCTAACCCAGAAATAGTGCTTCAGGTTAAGAACTTTGCTTCAGGATGAGAACAGAAATCGTGCTCCGGTGGCACGGCAGCAGTGGGAGGCCCCATTAGCTAAAGTGGTGCTTCAGGTTAAGAACAGTTTCAGGTTAAGAACAGACCTCCGGAACGAATTAAGTACTTAACCTGAGGTACCACTGTAATGCATTATGAATGTAAAAAGTAGGACGTCATGTGTCCATCTACATTATCAAAACAATTCCTTAACCCTTCCTTAACATTAAAAACTGTGAGTGTATATCTGACCCTGGAGGACATTTGTCACCTGTACATGAGATTCCCTATATGTGAAATCGTCCCTCCCCCTTACAAAAAGCCATTTGTCAATATCCAATGGCCAAAAGGAATAGGTGTCCTGGCCCCTAGTTCCACCTTCTTGGTTATGATTTTACAGTTGAGACTATTACATTTTGTTTATCCAGTTTCCTATTTCAAAACTAGTTCCTAACACATCCTGCACTCCCTGCTCTGTTCCATCCCATAATCCTCCACCACCAGCCAACCCCCGAAGCAACACCATCTCCTATAAATACACCCCGGAATGAGCAGATTCATGCTTACCTTCTGGGTAGAGGTCACCCCAGCCAGTGACCCAGCATGACATCCCCACAGGGAAAGCATCAGGGTCTGAAGCATTGGGCAGGCAGATGGGCAAAATGGTCCGAGAGAAATTCACCGGCTCCTCCAGCCGTACCAGTGCAATGTCAGCGCTGAGCCCATTTCCAGCATAATACGGGTGCACTATGATCTGGCTGACATGAGCAGGGACCATGGTGTGTGCTGGTTTGGGGAGCTCATATTCTCCCAGGTGAATTCGGTACCGAAATGGATTCAGCGACCTGTGGTGGGAGTCAAGAAAAATCAGTGCCATCTGCAGGGAGAAGGCCTGAGCTTGATGCCTTCCTCAGTTAAGAGGTTACTTAGTTAAGCCTTTGGAAAGGCACTACTGTTCGTCCTAATCCATCTCACATGTAGTTGTGAGGCTAGGATGGATTAATAATAGTAAAACACTTTATATGCTGAAAAACATTTATGCCTGATTGATCACAGTCAAGTTGACTCAGAACTAAGTCCCAATGATTTCAGTGAGATTTACTTGCAAATAAATGTGAAAATGGAACAATTGCTTATTTGTTTGTTTATATATTGCCCACCCTGCACCCTATGGTCTCAGGGTAGGTCACAACATTAAAACACAATATTATAAACAGTTTGAAACAACTTACAATCACAAAAATAAGGTGGCTCCTTATGATATATGGTCCTTATGAGTATGGTAATTCAGCAGTCAAAGGTGTATTAAATGAGTGCACGTTTTTGAAGTATTTGAAGAGTACTTAGCTTTTATAAAAGTGCTTCACATATATTCTCCCAGTAATGCTTAAAACAACCCTTTGAGGTAGACAAGAGGCCAAGGCTGAGGGAATCACTAGCTTATCCATCAAGTTCTTAGCTAAATTAATATTTGGACTGCTTGGCTTAGCAGCTGCTTGAACCACTACACCACAACATATAAAGCATAAGCCTAAAAACCATTTAAACACCAAACAATCAAGGAAAAGTTGATCCGGTTTGGCAGCATGGTAGAGATAACTCTGTACTTTGTTGACGTACTATATAACAACAATTTGCACTTGATACTGTTTACTGACTCAGTAATTAACATCAGTGTTGCACTGCCATCTCTTTTTTGCTGCCCATAGAAACCAGCATTTTTTTCAAGATACGACTACTGGCACCTCAATTCTTTTTTTACTGAGCACTGATTAAAAGAGATCCTCATAACCAATCCCAGAAACTGTTTCTTATCAGAAACCATATTTCTGGTTTACAAAAGATTGCAGGTTGGATCCAGCTTTGGTCTTGCCTAGAGTAAAGCCATTCGAATCAATGGGACATAAGAAAGTAAGTTCTACTGGTTTCAGTTTGAAAATCCCAGTTTACAAATTATTATGCCATTTTGGTATTTGGCAACATGCGGTTGGGCCACTGACCCTGACCCTGATTCTGTCTCTCCCTCCACCTAGTACTGCATTGGGGTCACTTTAAACGCAGGCTGAATCAAATTGCTCCCCCATCCCTTCGTAGAAGACAAAAGACATTTTCTGCTCACCCTTCAAAACAATGAGCAGCTGTCACCACCCACTGGGGTGAGATGAGGCTTCCACCACACACATGTAGCCTGTTTTCTCGTATGCTGACCTGCCATGGCCATTCACCTTCCTCAGCCTTCTGCCCCCCAACGATCCGAGGGGAGTGTACTATGGGTCGGCCACAGGCTGCAGAAAAGCAGATGGAAGAGCAGAGGTATGGTTAATGAACCCCGCCAGGTAAGTGTGTTCACTGCCACTCCATATCACATGCAAGCCACACAATGTTGCCTTGAAATATTATTGTCATCTTTCAAGCAGCGTTGGGGAACCTCCAGGACATGGGAATAGCACAGGTCCCCCACAAACACCCACCTGCCCCACACCTTTACCTTGAGTGTGGGACAGGTAAGGATGCTGCTACCAAAGAGCAATTGGCAATTTTAAGTGAGCTCCTGGTTGTTTCTTTGCAAATGGGGCTCCCTGTTGGTGCCTTTAATTTTTAAAGGGTAGGTCTGCAGAAAGGCTTCTTCTGTTGTTGGATGCATTAAACCCCCGCTCACACATACACACAACAAGATCAGATGTTTCCGGGCAACTGCAAACCAACCAAATTAAAGGGGGGCATTGCCAATTGGCACAGAATTCTTAATCCCCAATCAGTGATGGCATCAGGGCAGAACGTCTGGGCAAGCAGCCCAGTCCCACTTCACTATGTCAAGACTAACCCCCTGGACTTTGGAGCAGAAGCTCAGCCCCACCCCAAAGCAGGTGAGGTCTCTGATCACAGTGGGGCTGGCTTACCACTTTTTGATGTAACCGAAGTCATACACATTACCATCTAAAGAGGGGCCCCCGCACAAGACCTTTAAGTCCACAGTCTAAAAATTTGCTAACTGTACCGGTGCCATTGATGAGAGGATGATAAGATAGAATGCATTTTTCACATATATATTTTTTCCAAAATTTATTCAGTATAACTTTGCAGACCTCCAATTCTTTTTCACTCCAGATAATGAAACACTGTTGGCAAAGCCAAATCAATCATAATGTGTATATAGCAGAACGATTAGGCAGATATGAGTAGTAATATCTGCAATTAGATATGAGTAGTGATATCTGTAATTAGATAGATATTGGATGAGCGGAAAGAGGAACAGCTGGAGGAAGAGTGCAAGGAAGAGGGAGGGAGAAAGCTAGACAAACAGAGAGGAAAATGAATGTGTGTGCATGGGAAAGAATGGGGAAATTAATGAACGGGAAGAATTTTATATACAGATGGAAAATGTAGAAGTATGACTATGAGGTAAAGGTAAAGGACCCCAGGATGGTTAAGTCCATTCAAAGGCGACTATGGGGTGCGGCACTTATCTTGCTTCAGGCCGAGGGAGCCAGCATTTGTCTGCAGACAGCTTTCTGGGTCATGTGGCCAACATGACTAAACTGCTTCTGGCACAACAGAAGACCGTGACGGAAACCAGAGCACATAGAAAAGCCATTTGCCTTCCTGCCAGAGTGGTACCTATTTATCTACTTGCACTGGCATGCTTTTGAACTGCTAGGTTAGCAGGAGCTGGGACAGAGCAATGGGAGCTCACCCCATTGCAAGGATTCGAACCACTAACCTTCTTATCGGCAAGCCCAAGAGGCTCAGTGGTTTAGACCACAGTGCCACCCGCATCCCATGTGTATGCGTGATAGACAGATGGATGGATTGGAGACGGAATAAATGATGCACACGGAAACATTTTTAAACGTTGCCTCTCTGCACCAGGTAGGAACCACATAGTAATGTAGACAGATGTTTTTAGTCACTGTTCCATAGCTATGGAATTCTCTTCTGCTGGGGACTCACCATAACCATAGCCAGAGCCCAAGCACCCTCCAGAAGTTGTTTTAATAAGGCAATTTTGTCTGATTGTTTGGAATCCTCTTCCGCTGGGGACTCAATGTAAACAGAGCCCAAGCATCATACGGAAGGTGTTTTAATAAGGCAATTTTGTCTGGTGGTTTGGTACAAGTTTTTCATGTCTTAAATTTTTACACATGTTGGCACCTGTCCAAAGTCTAAAGGGCAGGGTGGTTTCTGACTGCAAGTAATTAATGCAAAACAAATTATGCAAAACACAAAATAAAATCATGGCTGTTGTGGGAAGAGAGAGAGAGAGAGAGATGCAGAAGGTATGTGGGCGACTAGGTGTAGATTGAATCGTTTGATGTAGGTGTGTGGTAAATATTAGGTCACACACAGTGTCAGATATGTAAATAAGGGGATTTCATAGGAAAATACGGGTGATGAGGAGTTCATGGGGAAAACATTTTGTACTTCTCCCAATAGGTATTATGTGCTCTCAAACATGTTCACTTAATGCACCCATAAGCTACACAACATCCACACACAGCCCCTCCTGATTCCCACACACAGCCCGTCCTGATTCCTCTTCTGTTTATGGGAGGAATGTGTGTGTGTGTGTGTGTGTGTGAGAGAGAGAGAGAGAGAGAGAGAGAGAGAGAGAGAGAGAGGCTCCATGGAGGAAAACCAATTGTATGTGGGTGGTGAGGAACCCAGAGCAGAGTTTCAACCTGTCTTCTTATGCATGTGTTTCCTTCCCATCGTTCTGTAGAATGAAGCACATGAAACTATGCTAACTGGTGGAGCTGGTATGCTAGTTGCCATTGACTGTACCCACCATAATCTTCCCTTTTAAAAAGGAGAGAGAGAGAGAGAGAGAGAATTAAGGAGGAGACTCAGGTAGTTAGGAATATCCCTGTTGATACTAGATAAAGTTTTCCAGAACTCTTCATCAGGCAAGAGTCATTACACAAAGCAGGGAAGGAGTTGAGAGGGAAAGAAGAATAAAACCAGTGCTTTTTTCCAGGGGGTACTCAAGGGTACACAGTACTGGCACCTCTTTTTTTGTTGTTGTTAAAATGTGTGGCACTTATTGTAACAACTTCATAGTGAGTACCTGCACCTATTTTTCTAGGGGAAAAGCACTGAATAAAGCATTATATTAAATATGTTTATATGCTATATTTTGTTTATAATTTATTCTTCTCTTGATGTAACCTGCCCCACCACCTTAAATGAAGTGTGTCTGTGTGCCGAGAGAAAGAGATCTGTACACATGTTTTACAGACTACAGAAAGGCAAGTCCTTGCCCCAAGGAGCTTACAATATATAATTCAACAGAGGGAAAACAGAAGAAGGCAAAGGAACTAGAGCCAAAGTTCAATAGAGATAAACCGTGTGACAGTTTTAAGTTGTACATCACTTGCTACGTGCCCCTTAACTTTTCTATCCCCTCTCAACCCAAGCCAGTTATCATCCTATTATTAGGTCTGACTATTATTTTCCAGGTGTGTTTTCTCACCTTTTTGAGCTGCAGTGTTTTCAGCACCTGTAAAAAGAAGAAGAAAATATGCAGTCAGAAGAGCAGAGACTATGGGCTTAAGAAGACAGAGTGCTCAAACAGTCAGGCTTTGCATTGACTCACCAAGCACATTTCTATAATGAGCACATGGGAATGCCAAACCTAGCCAGTGGAGAAATTGTTGCTGTGTCTGGAGCATAGCATGTCCAGGCTAATAAAAGCTACAGAGGAGTGCCTAAATGAGATTTCTTGTTCAGCACTGCAATGGATCTGTTTCTAAGGTGCGATAACCAGCAACTTCAATCTCCGCAGCATTCCATTACAGAAATGCGAGCAGAAAGGTAACCCAAAACTCCCCCAGGACCTGAGAGGTACAAACTGTTTCTGTCCAGCTGAATGTTTGTTACCAGAATATCATATGATAGAAGGAAAATCCAAAATGTTGTGCATTTAATGGCTATGAGGGAGAACATCAAGATCCCTCCTGATTCCAAACTCTAGGGTACACCCATTTGTGTGCGCGCGCACACACACACCTCCCAGATTTAGGATTGCTCCCTGTATTCTGGTTGGGGTCCTGGTTTGAAAACCAAATGGCAGACAGAAATCATACAGATGAAATCTTCTGTGTCATGGTGCTTCCTTACCTGAAGAAAAGCTACACCTGTTGAACTTTTGCCAGCTGTGTAGTAGATAAAAAGGCACAGTAGCCCCAAAAGGATAATGTGTTCTAAACAGTTTTTCGTAATGAATTTTAAATTGCTTCCACCCTCCCTGGGATCGTATAGTGAAAGGCAAGGAAGAAATCGAATTAATAATATTAATGATAACAACAACAATAATACTTAGAACCGAGAATATAATTTAGACTTTTCAGCTCCCAGGCTGCCCTGGTCTAATCCACTGGGGGTGGGGGGAATCCTCAGCTAACCCCATCTTCAGATAGAACCCAGGAGTCCAATCTCCTAGGTCCCTTCTTGTGACTCATTGTCCTCTTAAAACATCCTTGCTCCCCAATCACTCCACCTCCCCATTAGACTCTCTCTCACACACACATTCCCCTCCCATAGAACCCAGGCTTTTTCCTTCCAAAGGCAGGAACTGAAGGTCCAGGCAAGCAGGCAATCTTCTTCAGGCAAAAGACCAAGGAGTCTTCCCACCTGTGACATGTACAAACACATCCCTCCCGGGCCACCACTCACCTCTCAGCAGCAGAAGCAGCAGCAGAAGCTGGGAGCAGCAAAGACTCCGCATGGTCCAGGAGCAGTTGCCCTGGGTCATCTAGTTCTGATACCAACCAGAGAAGGGAGAGCAGAAAAAAGTGTGCTGGGCTGGGATGCTGAGGCCACGTGCCCCTTTGACAGGATTGGTACACAGGAGAGAGAAAAGGAGCAGCCTCTTGGCATCCCAGGTACCAGGGAAGCTGCCAAAGAGGTGAACCTGACCTGTTAGGTATTGTCCTCCACACTCCACCCACAGCTACTCAGTAGGGCCAACCCAGCTGCCTACTCAGCAGGAAGACAAGCTATCTTAACCACAGCAATCCCCGTATCCATCTCTCTGGAAGTGGAGAAGAAGCAGGTGGATTTCAAGAAATCTGAAAACGTGTGTATAGGATTGTAAGAAGCAAGGAGAACTGGATTCACTTCTGCTTACAGTTGCACATGGGACAGAAAAATTCCACTCGTGCAGTTTGTCATTAAGGGTGTGTGAGAGAGACAGAAAGAAATCTGCACATGAAATTTCCCCTTCAAGAAATACACAGACTTAATTTGTTTCCAAGCACAATTCTAAGTACTCATCTTGAAAAGCCCTTCTCTGGCTTGGGAACCGGGTACCTGCGGGAGCTTATGTTATGTTGTGTCATTTTAACACATTTTATTAATTTCTTTCCAAGTTGATATCAAAGATTACAGGAAAATAAAATAAACAATAGTATCGTTCATTATAAAGAAACATTCATGCTTATGTGAAAACTACTTTTTTAAAAATATTTTTATTAGTTTTCAATTACAATAATAGCCTCATTATCACAATGGCAAATTATAATACAATTCCTAATACAAATCATTCAAATACCGCCAAATTATATAATTTAGATGCCCCCTTCCCCCATATGATAGAATTGATGGTTTAATTATTTACTTTGTTCCTGTGTTCCAAAATCTTATTGATTTCCATTACATTCCTGTCATAATAGTAATCCCTTATACAACAGCTGCAATAGTTAAGTGAAAACTACTTTTAATATGATAAAATCCATTCTAGTTATGCAACCCCTAAGTTTACATTCTATGACCTTTTAAATGTGATGGGGGGGCTAAAGAATTTTTGTTTTATTATGTATTTTTTGTTCTTATTTTATAATTTTATGTTGAGGTTTTTGGGTGAAGGGTAGTATACATATTTTAATAATAATAATAATAATAATAATAATAATAATAATAATAATACAGTGGTGCCTCGGATTACAGACACTTCAGGTTACAGAAGCTTCAGGTTACAGATTCCACTAACCCAGAAATAGTACCTCGGGTTAAGAACTTTGCTTCAGGATGAGAACAGAAATCGTGCAGCAGCGGTGCAGTGGCAGCGGGAGGCCCCATTAGCTAAAGTGGCACCTCAGGTTAAGAACAGTTTCAGGTTAAGAATGGACCTCCAGAACAAATTAAGTTCTTAACCCGAGGTGCCATAATAATAATAGTAGTAGTAATAATAATAATTCAAAATTAGACATCAAATAAACCTACAGCAGTGGCCGAAATTGTAGAAACTTTTAGAGAAAGTTGTATTTCTAAGGTTTGATAGCTTTTAACATCAGTCTATTTTGAATAATGCCATAAAATTATACATTATTAGAAAGATAATTTAATGCTGAATATAATGCAGCAAACTGTGTTGAATAGCCCTCTAGCAGATCCAACCGCTTATCAACAATTAATAATGTGGCGGACTCACCCCACTAACTGCCCCCTATTAAATATAATGCACACCAATTCTCTGTACACCAATGGGATACAAAGTTTTACAAATTTGTGTGAGGGAAAACTTTGTGATTCGAGTCTCAGGCAGAAAATGATCAAACAAACAAGCAAAGTTGTATTAAACAAAATAAGTTTGTGAAACAAAGTGGGTCAGGAAATGTGTTCTTTCAGGTAGAGGTTAACTTATTTACTTTAACTAGCTATAAGATGTCTCAGGCTTAAACACAGTGTTGCTCAAAATCAGTTTCTGTTACATAGTTATGGCAGTTAAATACTTTTAACAGCATACAGCTTTCTTCACAAGAGGTAGCCTGTATTCCCACAGGTTCTACCTGTCTGGCTTCAGTCACAGCCCTCCCAGAACACTCCTGTCTATATATCTTTCACAGACCCTGAACACGGTCTCCTTATCCAAGCTGTGAGGCTCTGTCCTCTTGCTAAGGATAGTCTCCTCTCAGTATGGATGCTTAACTCGGGACCGGTTCTCCCTCAGTCAGATCCTACCCTACTCCCTATCTCGCCTCTTAAATCAAGCCCTTAGAAACTGCTCCTTTTATACTCTCTCCCAAAATGCTGTTGCCCCCCACCTCTGTGGCAAGCTGACTTTATAAGCAATCAGAGAGAGATGTTCCATTCCTCTGGTGGAGTCTCTGAGGGACTGCATCACCAGACTCTGGTCCGGCTCTGCTGTCCACCACAAGCCCTGACCTGAATCCAAAAGAAAATTTGTGAGGCAAACAAGAATATTGTGATATATTGACATATCACCATGTTTAAGTAAAGGTAAAGGGACCCCTGGCCATTAGGTCCAGTCGTGACCGACTCAGGGGTTGCGGCGCTCATCTCGCTTTATTGGCCAAGGGAGCCGGTGTACAGCTTCTGGGTCACGTGGCCAGCATGACTAAACCGCTTCTGGCAAAACCAGAGCAGTGCCAGAAACGCCGTTTACCTTCCCGCCGGAGCGGTACCTATTTATCTACTTGCACTTTGACGTACTTTCGAACAGCTAGGTTGGCAGGAGCTGGGACTGAGCAATGGGAGCTCACCCCGTCGCGGGGATTCAAACCGCTGACCTTCTGATCGGCAAGTCCTAGGCTCAGTGGTTTAGTCCACAGCGCCACCTGCGTCCCTTGTTTAGCTGGTGATATATTGTGATACTGAAAACCAGTTATTGCCCAGCCCTACTCAGAGCAGACCTGTTGAATGGAATGAGTAAATGATGGCTAATCTACTGCATATTACCCAGATATCTACCTGTAGCTCCAAATCTATTTTCTGCCCACCTCTGCTCTAGAATTTGAATCTTGGCTGCTGGGTCACAGGTTCTAGGCCTTGGTCTGTCTCTCGTTTAGGCCAGAAAAGGTCAGTCACTGTGCATCAAAATCAAATGGCTAGATTCTTTAGCTCCACAACAATTCTTTTTTCTTCTTCTTAAGATTGCAGTTCCTCCAGTTTGTCCTACAGTGAAAACTCAGCTTCCTCTGGGCTTATAGTCCACACCCCAGCCCCCATTTTCCTCCCACGGGAGCAAGAGAGAACCCGGACACTGGAAAAGCCGGTTTCCCTGGAATTCCTCTGGTAAACAGCAGTGCAACTGAGATGTTTGTATCCCTGCTGCCAGCCACGCACTGTAAGGCATGTGAGTCACCACTCAGCACGCTTCCGGAAACACTTGACATACATTTGCACAAAAACGTGACCATTGTCTAAGAGAGGAACATTAAACAATCAGTTTTGTTGTTTCCATTGATGTAAAAATTGAGGTTTGGCTTTTGTCGCCCAACTCTCCATGGGACTCTTGAGTCCGCTAAGTCCATGATTGGTCAGAGAAGAATGGACGGAGGCAGGATCCAGTGGAAAGCAAGGCAGATATTTATTCTTCTGTTGCAACAGAGATCCCTTCCCTCCTTCCAAGGAGGGAAAGAACTAGAACAAAAGTGTGCAGGAACCTCTAAAGGCTTTTGACATTGTGCAGCCTCCTTAGCCAAAGACCACCCCAAAATCATCATACATACGTCATAGGAGGTAGTCTACAGCAGAAATCCTGTCTGCCAGGATACCTGATAATGGTCGCTGATTGCATTACCTAGGCAGCCAGGCCATTCTTTTAGTTCCTGAATCCAGGTCACAGGCTCACTCTATTCATAAACAAAAATGCCCTTAAGACAGGATTTGTAAACGAAAAGACAATGGGAAGGCTTTCCCCATTTGCCTCCCTTACTGCAGAGAAATATTTTGAGGTTATTGGGAGAGTCAAAATGGCTTCAGAATTGCTCTCCTATATAGTAGTACCTAGGTTCTCGAACATAATCCATTCCGGAAGACCGTTCAACTTCTGAAATGTTTGAAAACCGAGGCACAAAGGGCTGGCTGCAAGTTCAATTGGAAAAATTGAAAAACACACAGTGGAAGCCGTTCAACTACTGAGGCACGTTCAAAAACGGAAGCAATTACGAGTTTTCGGCACTCAAAAACCAAAATGTTTGGCTTCCAAGACACTCAAAAAACAAGGTTAGGAAATGATTTCATGCTTTCTGAGTGGGCTTGTGTAAACACACACACACACACACTGGCCCATTCATTTAAACAAAAATGCAGACATTTGGGACAAAATCCGTCTTTGCTTTTCTTCCTGCAACTTTGGCCCTCCTGGATAAAACAGCCCAGTCCTGCCCCCCCCCACACCATTTTTTCTCCATTGCAATCTGTATTCTATCCTATCTTAACTGTTTTGTGGTACTTTTGGCCAAATTAGTGTGGCATCGTGGTCGGAGCATGAGACTAGGAACTGGGAGGCCAGGGTTCAACTCCCCACTCGGCCATGAAGCTCACTGGGTGACCTTGGGCCTGTCGCTGCCTCTAAGTCTAACCTACCTCAAAGGGTTGTTGTGGAGATTAAATGAGGAGACAGAGAACCATGCACGGCACCTTGAGCTCCTTGGAGAAATAGGTGGGATATAAATGAAATTTTAAAGAATTAAAAAATCCCTTTCCCACCATTAAAGATGAATCCGTCTTCCTGCAATCTGGAAGTACTCTTCCCTGTAGGGGAAGTACTATTCCCTGCTCCACTCAGATAACAATACACCATGGCCTTGTCCTGATATGGAACAGTTAATACAGGGGTCCACAAACTAAGGTCCGTGGGCCGGATAAGGCCTGAGGGACTCATTTATCTGGCCCGCGGCAACCCCCGCCACCCACTGCCGCTGCCCACTCTTACCGGCGCTGCACTGTGCGGCTGCCCACTTCCGGGTCGGAGGAGCACCA